TTCTCACACTCCCCGGCCAAGAAAAAAGGGCGGGGTAAAAAAAAAAAACACCCCCCTCCCAAAAGAGCGTAAAAAAACCCCCCCCCCCCCCCCCCCCCCCCCCGCCGCCTTTCTTGGTACTGGGGATTGAACCCACGGGTGCTCAATCACTAAGCTACTTCCCTCGTCCTATTTTATTTTGAGACAGTCTTGTTAAGTTGCTTAGGGCCTAAGTTGATAAAGCTGGCTTCAAATTTGCTATCCTGCTTTAGCATCCCCAGTTGCTAGGATTACAGGTGTGTACCATCACATCCAGCTTCAACTATCATTTTGGTGATTACTAAATTTGTCTGCAGAAAAGATTTTTGGTGGGCAGTATAAATTATTTAAAAGACAACAGAGAAAATGTGCATATTTAAAGATGCATTAAGAGCTAAGTGGGAGAGAAAATCCATTTGGTTCAGTGGGGCACAATTCACCTGCAGGAAGATGACCTAATTCTAAGCCCTAATTCTGGCATAAGCTCCGTAACACTGTGAGAAACTTCTCTTTTTGTGAGTGTGCACTATGGTTTCCCTAAAAAAAGAAAGAAATGAAAGAAAGGAAGACCAGATTGGTTCCTAATTTAGGATCCTCCAACCTATTTCCAAACAGCAATTTCAAAGTTTTTTCATTTCCCTGTAATAGGGCTGTTCCTGTAAATTCTGTGATTCCAAATCTCAAGCTTTAGAAATTTAGGTCCTTTTGCGGAATTAAAGTTGTATGAACACTGGGATGGCTACGATTTGGTACAAGCAATCTTAAGTCTGTGTTATATTCAATCCAAGAAAAGACTAGCCTTGTGGTTAAGGCAGGTGGTGTGGTACACAAGAACAACACAGGAACTTGGAGTTAGTTTGGTTCATAGCCTGGGTAACTTGGCCTTCCTCCTTTTTAAAATGTAGATTACATATTTTGAGCAGATTCTGTGAGGTTGAGACAACAAAGTTTATATAATATCTTACAAAGAAGGTACTTAACAAATGGCTGACAGATAAAGCTATGCATCTTCGTATCTACTCATTTACATTTTGTAATTGATATTATCTTGTTGATTTTTAGGATAATTTCAAAAAGGCAGGAAAGAGAGTTAACAGATACACAGTTAAAATGATCCAGACTCTGATAATGTACTCTGGTCACATTAAGGTCTTCAGAATAGTTGTGGCAGGCATAAACTTCAAGTTATTTTATAAGTTCAAATGACTTTAAGGAAAGGTGGAACATCAAGAAACATATTTATTTGGTTCGCTGACAATTTTAAAATAATTATTTTATCTGGAACATCTCATTTTTATGAAGTTTTTCTTTTGTACCGATGTCAAAACAAAATGTAATGATTATATAACAACTATTTTGGCTTCTAGTCATTCACTATTCTTGTGTTAAAACAAAGTGAGAACTGGCAAAAGATGGTATACATTTGCAGATGTCTCTATCCACACTGATTTAGGTTCAGTGACTTTTGAATTCCTATAAATGCATAAAAACAGAACCGAAAAAGAGTGGATGTTTTAATTTTTCACACAGATGCTGTGTAATTTATTGGCTGATAAGGTGGGCTTAGCAGTCAGACATTCCTGGAATGAATTTTGGATTTGTCAACTGAAGCATAACTTAATGTAACTCATCATCAAAACAACCTCTCTGACACTCAGTATTCTCACTATAAAAAGGGAGCAAAAATACTCACTTCATTGGATTTTTGTGAGGAAACAATGAGAAAATGTACACAAAGTGTTATCTAGTCCGGACTAAGAACTTGACAAATGGTACTTATTAGAAAACAATATCCTAGCTACACCCTGGGCAACCATGAACACAATCTAGCAGCCCGACATACTAGACTGCTGAAGCTCTGCATGCACACTGTTGCCAAAGCAGTCACATAAACAATGCAGAACAAGAACAAATTCGGCAAAGCAGCAGGATACAAATTCAACATACAAAAATCAATAGCTTTTCTATACACCAATAATGAACCCAATGAAAAGAAGTCAGGAAAACAATTCCATACATGATAGCCTTAAACCAAAACAAGGGACTAAATCTAACAAGGAGGTGAAAGATCTCTACAACGAAAATTATAGAATACTGAAGAAAAAAATTAAAGAAGACATTAGAAGGTAGGAAGACCTCTATGTTCTTAGGCAAAATTAATACTATTTTTAAATGACTGTATTATTTAAAAAAAAGTGATTTATAGATTTAATAAAACTCCCACCAAAATACCAATGACAGGCTGGGATCATAGCTCAGTGGTAGAGCGCTTGTGCCTTACAGGGGTGAAGCACTGGGTTCAATGCTCAGCACTGCATATAAATAAATGAATAAAATAAATATCCATCAACAACTAAAAAAGAATTAAAAATAATAAAAAATATCAATGACAGGGCTGGGATTGTGGCTCAGTGGTAGAGCGCTTGCCTAGTGCGTGTGAGGCCCTGGGTTCGATCCTTAGCACCACATAAAAATAAATAAATAAAACAAAGGTATTGTGTCTAACTACAACTAAAAAAATAAATATCTTAAAAAATAAATCAATGACATTCTTCATAAAACTAGGAAAAAAGTCTTAAAATTCATATGGAAGAATAAAAGACCCAGAGTAGTCAAAACTATTCTAAGCAATAAGAACAAGGTGAAAGCATCACAATACTCAATCTCAAATAATAATATAGAGCTATAGGAACAAAAACACTATGGTATTACAAAAACAAAACAAAACAAAACAAAAAAACAACACCAGATATAAAGACCAATGGAATAGAAGACACAGAGACAAATCCACAACGATACAGTTATCTGATCTTTGAAAAAGGTTCCAAAACCATATATTTGATAAAAGAGAGCCTTTTTAGCATAACAGCCTCTATCAATGTGTAAAAGAATGAACTAGATCCCTACCTATCACCCTGCACAAAAGTCAATTCAAAATGGACAAGAACTGGGAATTAGAAACTTCTCAATTGCTAAAAGAAAACATATGGGAAACATTTCAATATATAAATGCAGGCATCAACTTCCTTAATAAGACTCAGTAAATGATGAATAAATAAAGCTCAGTAAATAACAATAAGAATCTATAAGTGGAATGGCATCAAATTAAAATGCTTCTGCACAGCAAAGGAAAAAATTAAGAGCATGAAAAGAAGCCTATGAATGAGAGAAAATTTTTGCCAGTTACGTTTCTGATAGGGAATGAACTAAATACTCACTTCTCAAAAGAAGAAATGCAAATGGCCAACAAATATATGAAAAAATGTTCAATATCCTGAGTAATCAAGAAAATGCAAATTAAAACTACACTGAAATCTCATTTCATTTAGTTAGAGTGGCAATCGTCATCTATGTATGATATATCAAAGTGCATAAATGCATTCTACTGTCATGTGTAATTAATTAAAACAAAAAAATTCTTAAAAAGAGAATATAAATAATAGATGATGGTGAGAATATGGGGATAAAGAAACACTTGTATAATGTTGGTAAGATTGTAAATTAGCATAACCACAATGGAGATTCCTCAAAACACTAGGAATGAAAACACGGGATGACCTAGCTATTCTGCTCTTTGGTATTTATCCAAAATAACTAAAACTAGCATACTATATTGATACAGGCACATCAGTGTTTGAGTCTTGTCTTTTTTTTGTGTGTGTGTGGTGTTGGGGATTGAACTCAGGACCTCATACATACTAGGCATAGCATGCTATACCACTGAGCCATATTCCCAGCCCTACCATCAATATTTATAGCAGTGCAATTCACAATAGCCAAGTTATAGAACCAGCCTAGGTGTCACCTACACATGAATGGATAAAGAATATGTGATATATACACAATGAAATTTTACTCAGCCATAAAGAAGACTGAAATTATGTCATCTGCTGGTAAATAGATGGAATTAAAGAACATTATGCTAAGTGAAATAAGCCAAACTCACAAAGTCAAGGATTGAATATTTTCTCATATGCGAGAAGCTAGACAGAAAAAAGAAATAGGAAAAAAAAAAAAGAGGGAGGGATCTCACAAAAATAGGAGAGAGACCAATAGAATAGAGAAGGGAGGTTGAAGGGAGAAAAAAGGTGAGGGAAAGAGGAAGTATTGGGGAATAAAATGGAACAAATTATGTACATGTATGAATATGTCATAATGAACTCCACTATTATGTATAATATAATGTACTACAATTAAAAAAAAAAAAAACCTCAAACATTCCAAAACTCCCTGCAAAGCTTGTTCTACTGGCATTCTTCCTCAGGCCCATGGCCAATATTATTAAAAACAGAAAGAAATTTAAGTACAATAAAAATTTGGTTGGATAATTCTCTTTTTCAAATCCCAATTTCTAAAAATGTGCATTTCATTTATCTAGATTAATTCAAATAAACTTGAAACAAATTGGGTTACTGTTTGGTACTGATTATTTAACTGTTTAACAACAGTATAAAATTCTCATAATTCAGTTGAACAGCCCCCCAGAGACCTGGACTCTGGTGAAGAATCTTGTTCCAAATAAGGCTCTGGTAACTGACATCGGGTGAAGAGCTCTGTGGATAGTGACACTGTGAGCTTTGTCATCTCAGGACTCAACAGAAAACCCAGCTAATACTGAGTAGACTCCACACAGAGAAAGCTCAATTAAGGTAACTAGACAGGCAAGTGACAAATATCTACCTTTAATCTTTGAAGAGGATAAAAGTTATAATTAATTTTTACAAAAAGTCTACATATAAGCTAGAAAAAATAATTTGCCCACCTCCTGCCCTGATCCCTAGATATAATGGGGTTTCATGCCACACTGTAGTCTAGAAGGGGCAACTGTAAGTAGTCAAAGCAAAAGAGGATGGTGTTACATTATGAAATTTATGTAATATATAATATAAACAAGATTTAAAGATATATAAATATAGAAATTTAATTAAAGACACCATGGTATTATATAAAAAATCCTAGACCAAAAATCAAGAATCCCAGGTTTGAGATCTAGTTTATACCATTACCTGTTCTGTGACCTTGGGCAACTGAGTTCCATTCTGGGCTTCAGTTTCTACTCACACAAAACAGTGTCCTGGATTTTATTTCTAGGGTTCCTTTGAAATCCAAGATTTCATTATTTTGAGTTTACATTTATAAATTACTGATATAAATATTTTGTTCTCTCTCTAGTTTGTTATGTTTTCAACAGCTAGAAGCAGGATAATTCTGATGGATTGTTCCCCTCTAGAGCTCCCTAGTACAGTCAGCTCAGGCTGCTGGAGGTGGACCAGTACTGCAGCTTGACTTCTCCTTCTGTCCAATTTTGCCTTCTCCCTTTCCTTTTCACAGGTATTGATTCAAAAAGTGACCTCTAATAAACATCTGAATACTAAATTTTATTTTACAGACTGCTTCTGGGAGAAACTAGCCTATGACATTGAATTTTTAATCTCAGGAAAAAACTCTGCAAAGTGATTCATAAGTTTTAAAACTTTACACTCAACAACCAGTTCTTTGTAAATACCCCATCTCAGCCTCTTATATTTCTAAGCAAATATTTACTTTTCAAATACCTGTTGTGGTAGACTGTGTAGGATAGCTAGACAACAGTCATTCCCAATCTTTGTCACTTGGCAATCTCATACTATAAAGACTAGAAAACCAAATGCTTGGTTTTCTGTTCTTCCTTGTCACTGAGCTGGGGGTCACTATGGGATAAAGTTCTGGCCCAAAAGAAATAAGCAGAGTTTGCTAAGAGGGTTGCAAAAAAAGCTTTTGCTTTCCTGAGTAAGAGCGACATATGTGGTAGCGAAACACTTCCTCTTCCCTTCTCTTTCTACTGTGAGTTGAGATGTGACAATAAGAGCTTCAGAAACCATCTTCTGGCCATATAGAAAGTTGATAATACTATAGTTATGCTATCCCTGACACCAATGTCCCATTGAATCTATACCCGAAACCACTGACCTCCAGATTTACATAAGAAAAATAAGTGCCTATTTATTTAAGCTACTATAAGTAGTTTTCATATTGCCTAATTAACACACTGTAATTTTTCAGTGAACTTAAAAGTGGGAGGTTTTTCAGACTAGTGGGATTCTACATCATATATAATCAGAGAATGAGAAATTATACTCTGCTATATATGATGTATCAAAGTATACTCTACTGTCATGTATAACTAATTAAAAGAAAAAAAATTTAATTAAGTTCTCCAATGATTAAAAAAAAATTTTTGGTTGTCACAATGACTGTGCCACTGGCACTTTCTGCCTCATGCCAGAGATACTCTATATCCTTCAATGCATGGGGCAGGCACAGCCAAAAGAGCAGTAGCATGCACCAAACATCATTCCAGAAGAGACTATTCAGGCCATTTCCAATGGCCATATTAACCATATTAGTTGATATTAGTCATTGTAGCTATGAAGAATATAAACATACTCAATGACAGTGACAGTCTAATTATTTTATTCCTATAGGCTACTGGATAGGTAACTTACCACTGGGTCATACTCCCAGAGCTGGTTGCCTTTTAGGTGATGGCACTTGAGCATGGTAACTGGGCCATTAAGTTTGGAAACATCTAAGCAAAGATCATCTGTTCTAATTTCTTTATTGGCAGTATAAGAGAAAACCTGGAAAACAAAATGGAAACATGTAAGCTTTAATAACAAAAAAAAAATTAGCCAGTATTTCATATACTCAATAACCTAGGAGGGAAAAAAATATTCTAAGATACACAATTCTTCATTTTATTGAATTAATAGAGACTTAAATGACTCATAAAAGCTACCACCAGGTTTATACAGAAAAAAGTAAAAATGGCCTTAGTTCTCTGCATACACTAAGTGTGCTGTCAGGAAGTATAATTTCACTAGAAAGCACAAAATAAATTTTGTGTTCAGCAATGTTAATATAGTTCTCACAAAGGGCCTGTTACAGGAAAATATTTCCTGAATGATGTCACAGATAAAAAGGGCAAAGTAAAAACAGACTTAAAAAAATTCTCCTTTTTATAAGTTAATATTAAGATACTCACCTGATTGCCTCCCATACCATGACAATTAAAAATTCCAACTTTTTCATTCTCTTTTCTAGCCATGTTATCTAGACACTGATTTGTTTCCACATTTCGTATCTATGGGACAACAATGAAAATATCAGAAGTTAGAAGTTAGACAGATAAACACACATACACTAAAAAATCAATTTAAGTTTTCCCCATACTACCATGAAATGACACTGGATTCCCCATATAAAGGTGGTAGGTTGGAGTGGTTTGTGGAGAGGATCAGTAACTGGCTACCTAAAATTCTTTGGTCTAAAAAGAAATATATATAATTTCTGTGTTTAAGAGGGAAAATCCTTTAAATTCTTTTTCCTTCATTCTTCTAATGTTCTCTAGAATTTGTATTTAGTCTAATAAAGTCTTCTCTAGCTAACCAATGTAACAACTCCCTAAGGACACAAATAATAATCGAGACAAGCATATTATATTACTTTTGGTAACTACTCTGATGACTTTTCTGGATACTTAAGATGAGCATTTTCTAGTCAAAGACCTTGGAAATTGGCTTATTTTGGAAGCCTAGGCATGGTATAGTATAATACAAACTTTACTCTTTCATTAGACATTTATCAATTACACAAAAGGAATTTAAATCAGTCATCAGACTTGTGAGAAATATTTTGAGCAATGCCCCTTGACACTTTGCTTTCTTTAAATCACTGCAGCTTCAAAGCACTTGATAAATTAACAGACACCTGAAAGTCCTAAATCTATTACCCTGCATGGTATTGTTAGCAGGTATGCCAGGGGGAGAGGTGTGATAGACTACATTTGTCATGTTATGTAGACAGAAAAATCTAATTTTGTGTGATGAAGTAGGGTTAAAGTTAAAAGCACAAATATGTCATTTACTTTTATAAACAAATATATGGTTTACATATTATTCCAATATTTTAATAAGGCACTAAGAAGGCCAGATACATAAAAGTACAACTATTATTCCCAGGCAGCCAAGAATTGAGGCTCTGGCACAGGAGACCCAGATTTAAATCCAAGTGGCCCAAACTTTTTAGTAATGGCAATCAGGGTTAGCAGAGGGATGGTGGGGGGCGGGGGGCGGGTGATGACTAACAACCCTATAGTGAGGTTATGTAAGACACTGCATCAAAGTATCTACTTCAGAGTCCAGTACAGCTTGATTCAGAAACAGCAAGAATCTGCAATGTTACATTATCACTAGTCACCAACATGTGGCTATTCACTTTATTCAAAACAGATTTTTCAACTTTTTAATATTAATAGTTCCTCATCCCAATATTTTAATATGCTCCCATCCCACCTTGAGAATTGCTACCTGAAACATACCTCATTATCATTCCTCAAAAAACTTTCCCTATTCTCCTGATTATCACTAATCTTACAACTTGTCCAATATTCAAGTTGGAAATCCCAAGGTCTTTTTTTGTTTCTGAGTGCAATATATCACATTAGTGTGTGGTAATTCTTTTACTACAAGATTCATATACATACAAGCGTATATGGATGTGGATACACACACACACACACACACATTTTGGTACTGGGGATTGAATACTCTGTTGCTTAGCCACATCCCTGACCCTTTTTATTTTTCATTTTGAGACTGGGTCTTGCTAAGTTGCTGAGAATACAGGGATTGCCACTATGACTGGCCAATTCATATCATCTTTTAAATCTATTATTTAAATTCAGGAACCCATTACTTAATAAAAAATAATAGGTTTTATAATTAAACACAGATTTGCATAGAGCAAATATTCCTATACCACAGTTGGAGATCAATTAATACTTGATGATGATGGCTACCTTACTTGAAAAAGAATTCAAGTTATGACAAGATGATGTATTCATACAAATCAATTATTCCTTATAGTTTTGATTAAAATATCAAACTCTCCAATTCTTTGATTTTCTTATTTTTTTTTCTTCCAAACACAGATGTAAAAGTTGCTGAAGAATGGGGATACATACGACAAGAATGATTATTAGAGTAGAACCAATGTTATCCCTGGCTTCTCAACGAACAAAATAGCTATTTTGTTAAATAATTGACTAATCTTACAACTAACTTGTCCAATATGTATCAATTCAATATTTATTATCCAATATTTACAATTCTTTAATCAAACTTAAAACACATTTTTTTTTTTTTAAAAATGCAATACTCCCCAAAACATAACAAGGCTTCTTATCACTTTTTAAGTATTTTATAATAAATTAACTTTGGCCATTTTGCTTTTTATAAGTGATATGCTGCTAATAAATGATAGCAAATAAATTGTGCTTAACTCTGCTAGGCACTGTTCTATGAGATCTGTATAAGAGCTTACATCATAGATATAGTATTCATGACTAATTTTGGGTTGTTGTCTGAAATTAGAGCTTGATCTCTAACCCTTGGGGTTACTACTGACTACTAGATGCAGAAAGTGAAGTTTCTACAAGAACTGGATGCTTCCCATCAGATGTTAAAAGTAAGGGAAAAATAGCCAATATCAGTAAAATGTGGCAGTGAGTCCCAGGTGAGATGGGAAGTCAGAGACCCAGTGTTAGGCCCTCTGGTAGGGTCTGGTGACAAATCTCCAAAAGGCAGGGAAAGTGAAGAGATGTCCTGCAGATTAGGTTTCTGGAAGAGGGCAGTTAATGAAGTTTTAATCTTGAGTGGCTTTAATATTAGCAGGAAGAGAGGTGTGTTTGCCTCAACAAATTCATAGCATCTTTGTTGCTGGAAGGGTACGTCTGCTTGCCCCAGGTGGGTTGCTTTATACACTGGTTGGCTAGATGATGCAATTTTGGGGGAATATCCTTCTTCTTGTAAAACTGTATGTGGATTACCTCACCTATTGGGTGTTTTCTCAAGAATATACTAAAAATCAGGATGACTCATGGGTCAGGTTTTTGTTTTGTTTTTTGTGTGTGGTGCTTAGGATTGAATCCAGGGCCTTATGCATGCGAGGCAAGCACTCTGCCAACTGAGCTATATCCCCAGATTTTGAGGGTCAGTTTAGGAAACAATTTTATTAGGATCCTAGGAGGGAAAGGATCACCTAGTAGAATTAATTATCTGGTGGGAGTTAAATATGAAGAGCTTCTGGAGAAGAGAAAAATTAGGAACATTTTCTAAGGATGTTGAATTAGATGCTCAAAAGTTGTAATTCCATATAGCTTTAAGAATATGTAAATAATTATTAGCTTTCTAGTGAGACATGGAGGGTAAAAATGACGGCAACACCTCAATGTTTACTTTGCAATGGACATAGGTACTAGGGTTGGCTATTCAACACCTGACGCTTTAAAGAATATTTGAGGGCTGGGGTTGTAGCTCAGTGGTAGAATGCTTGCCTTGCATACGTGAAGCCCTGGGTTCGATCCTCAACACTACATAAAAATAAATAAATAAATAAAAATAAAGATATTGTGTCCATCTACAACTAAAAAAAAAAAAAGAATATCTGAAACAAGAATGTTAGAAAAATATAGAATGCTATCAAACATATAGGCATGTTATTAGGGAGAAGAAAAATATGTGCAAGAATGTAAGACTAGCTAATGTAAGTATATTCTAGGCAAATGCCTCCTTTGTTGGACTTTAAAAAAAAAAAGTACAAATCTTCTGAAAAGTTAGGCAGTATACTGCATTTCAATACAAAGAACGAAGAGGCTAACTTCTTTTTGGTTTTCCCCAGTCATTCAAGGTTTTATCCCACCTTCTGGTGTACATACAGTGCAAGGCTAACTTTTCAGGGGTCTTACAATGCTATTAATTCTTTTTAGTTTGTTTACCTTCCAAATCACACCTTGATGACTATCATAGAGTATGTTTCCTTGTTTGGTAACATACTAATAGCAACTAACATTCTACATCATTAGGAATCCTTGAACTAAAAAGCTGATTTGATATGGGAAAAGAAGGGAACTCTTTCTGGTTGAAGTGGAAATTCCTGAGCATCCATATGGTCCTGATGCTCTCCTTAACCTAGTATGAAGATAACTACTGACAGGATGGCTTCGGAATTTGACATAGTACATCACACAGAGGTGTTTCAGGATAACTCAAAGTTATTTAGGAGTAAGGAGTGTCATAGAGAGTATATGTTAACTCTGATTTTTTTAAAACCAGGGAGTTTGATAAGCCAGATAAGAGCATCACAACTTAGGACCCAGGCAGGGAGAAATACGTGAAATGACAAGGTAGCAGTGTAGATACAGACAGATGGATGACCTCCTGTGCTGGCTGGCTGTGTTAATGACTCCACATTATCCAACAAAACTTTCTGTAATGATGTCAATGTCTACATTTGTGCTCTTCAATATTGTAGCCATGAATGGCATATGTTCATTGAGTACTTTAAATGTGGCTAGTGTGACTGCTTAGCTAAGTTTTAAATTTTATCTTAGCTAATTTAAATTTAATGGCTATGCACTGGATGCGCAGGTTTAAATAATGACACAGAAGGAAACCTTCCCTCAAATGGTGGACAACATGCTAATAAATCCAATTCATCACATCATTGACTACTCTGAAAATCATGTGGAAAGTGCTCAAGTTTGGTTTGTACTTTCTGAACAGTCCTAGGGGAACCTAAATGATTTCACAAGGCTAATTTTTTTTTTCCTCCCCCAGTGCTTGGGATCAAACCCATGACCTGCCCATGATAGGCAGATGCTGTACTATTGAGCTATGCCCCAGCCTATGGTTCATCCTAAACAATTTATTTATGGCTGAATAATATATCTTTACTTATGTAGTCAGACATGCCACTGAGCCAAGCCAAAACCATTTTAGGTACCACATTCAGATTGTAAAAACGTCATAAAATGTTAGAAACAGGAACTCTTCTACTTGAATTGGCAATATAAGACTTATACTGGCCAGAGGCAATATCCACACTTTCAAGGTATCTGTAAGGTGAGAGCTCAGGATGTGAAAACATGCAGACCCTGGCCTCATCAAGACATTACCATTACTAGCTATGATACCTTGCAGGTAGTTATTGACTCTAATACAGGAGTGCCCAAAATCTTGATCTGAGGACACTATCTTGCAAGGTGTTGACACATGTGCTACTAAAAGATGGTTTCTGTGATCA